CCTACCCCTTTACTTTGTCCGTTATAAGCTTATTCCAACCAGTTTTATGCAGATAACGAAGAAGTGCGCATTACATCCACATCATAAACGTTTCAAATACTTATTTAAATTTTTTAGTTTTTAAGTTAGTTAAGATATTCTGTTAAAGGTAATATATTTTATTAATTTAATTAAATAAGAGTGATAGAGATATTAAGAATATGTGTCTATTTAACATGATATAGGTGTTTAACCTATGCACTACAGATACATTAGTACAAGCGTTAGGTGGCAAATGAAATTAAAAGAAAATTTTAATAATATTTGTACGTAGCTGTAGATTGATAATATTTGTTAATAATAAAATATGTGATTCATTTTTAAACCTTTCCTATAATAACTACGTACCTATTAACTTAATTAGGTACTGAATTTATGATATAACGATTGATGGTTGCCATATTGCCGTATAAAGTATGAATGTTTTTGAAATACATACTTCGTCAAACACAAAAAGACATAATTTCTGTACACAAAATATCCTGAAATTTAATACCTCATATTTTTTGTTCCAAAATTCGTATTTTCAAAATTAACCACAACAGAATTTTCAGCCAACAAATTTTTTGTTAATTAATAATTTGTATTACCATTGCTTCGTATAGGAAAGTTTTGGTGTAGAATTTCTTATGCTGCTAATATCTACACTAGTTTTATTTTATTAATAAATATCTTCAAAATTATACCTATGGGCTATGGTAAGACTACTTTCGCCATTCGGCCTTTTTGAATATTGATAGTCGACTTGTGCTGGTGTTACAGTGTATATACCTACAAATATTTGGGTGCTATTTGAAATGCCATACCTATTTAATATCAGGTACAGGTACTGCAGGTATTTTATCGAAAAATTCTCGTGTTTTGCCGATTCCTATCATACTTTATAACAGTAAGTCTTCCTATTTAATTTTTTTATGGTGTAGGAGAGAACGAACCTAAAATAATCGTCTGAATATTAGAATTAGAGCGCCATCCGCTGAAGGGAAACATCCCTTCCTGCGGACAGCCCGAGTTTCGAAGCTCTCGTTTAGGGGAGAGTGTAATATAGGTGCCTACATGTATATATAGTTTATAAATAAGGGTCCGAAGAATCGGGATGCTCCACTAACCTACTGAAATAATAATGACGTATGAAAAGCTTTGTCCCTTTTCTTGTGAACTAGGTACAATCTATGTATGCACCCATAGGTCACCAGCATACACTATAGGTCCGAATTAAATATATGCATATGTAGGTATGTTTTACATAATCGGCGGTCATTTAAATATGGCTTGATGACCATGTTCGTCAGGATTAGTTCTCCTACTTCGGCGAGTCCATGGATCGAATCGTTTATGCGACGTTTCGCCAGTTTCTGAGGTTCCTCATGGAACGTGTTGAGAGACACTGGTAGCTAGGATTTTACCTTTTAGTCACGTTCCTTGAGGATGCCGGCAAAAGAAGCTGGTGAAACGTCGGATAAATAACTCCACCAGCAGACTCATCGTAGAAGAGAGGAGAACCAACTCGGTGTCATCGCCATGTATCCCGAATATTGAACGCTCTTCATTATTAAAATATACTAAGGAGATTGTCTTCATTTATAAAGATTTAGTGTACTCAAATATTTGAAAAAATTGTAATGTTTTTGTGTTACGAAATCCATCGAGATGTTTTTCTCTTTTCTCAAAAATACGAATAGGTAATAGTGTCCTTCTATCCTTATGGGTCATACCTCCACACATCAAATAGTGTAGATACTTATCTACTACCTACCTAATATTGTTAGAATAGAGAATGACATTCGTGCTTCTTTTGTACTCACGTGTATTCGCACTCTTGATCAACTCTAAAATTGACTATTGTTTTGATAGTTTTCGTTTATCGATTTTCATTGTTTTATAGATACAAAAAATAAATTCCACATTACAAAAAAAAAAATGAATAGTGTAGAGATCTAGTCACAGTGTAAAACCTTCAACTTGATTATTTGAGGATGAGTGACTTTTAATTAAATAGCCGAATGTGGTTTTTGTTATTCATCTAATAAATAATCGATTCAATTCAGGAAGAAAACAGCTATCTAGAAGGTATCGTATAGAACAATAAAGAATTGAGACTAGTACCCAAGAAGCAATTTGCGAGTTCATGAACATTGTTTTCAATTAGACCTTCAATCATTGTAAGAACCCATAAGAAATGACGGAAGTACCTACAGACACACGAGTGTTATTTTCAAAATAAAATGAGCACTTATGTCTATCTCCCTTCTTTATTTCATGAAATTACATTTCATAGGTATCTTGATAGTTCGCCCTTTCAATCGTTGATTGCATAGGTTGATGGGTGACCCATTTGACAAAGGACCCTGGTATGTTTTTAATTTGAATTTTGAATATTAATTAGGAATTTTTCAGGAAATGACCTTCCCCTAGGAAAATCTTAAGGAAGACCTATGTGTAAAGGGACAGAATAGCGATTTCAATTTGTGAGAGTTGATCTTGTATCTTCCTATCTCTAACGACTGTCTATTAACAAGATGAAAGATGAATATTTAGAAAAAGAAATTAAAATATGTAACTGACCTCACCGTCAGCCATGGAAATTATTAGATATATGGCCACCTTCTCAAATTTAGAAGTTTTTTGGTAACTGTAGTTTCTTGATGACATTTATATAAAGGATGCAAGAATCAATCAGAGAACAAAATTTACATTAGAACATTAGACTGCTTCCATAAGTAATTCCGAGAAAATTTTATAAGATTTACTTTTGTTTTCATATAGGATGATTAAAGGATGGTTAATGTTTTAAACCTGAAAAATAGCACCATAATGCAAATAAATTCAGAAAGTCCAGTTAAAGTAAAATAAATTGCAGCCGAACGCGCACTGAGGCGAAAGAAAATTAAAATCTAAGGCCGCACACCTAGTATTGATTGCGGCGTGACAGCCCGGTGACATTCTTTATCAATACGTCACGACTCATATTTCAAGTTCTCTTGCAACCGCCCTCGAAGCTACAAAGAAACTAAGTTCTTTCGGTAGCAGTGGGAGGACGTTAAGTCCTTGATTGTGGGGGGGGTCCAATCAAAATACGGGGCGCTTCCCTGCCAGCCAATGGGGTTTGCCCATAGCTCGACGCAGCCAGCTCCGCCCCGCGGCACTTGCACGGATTTTTCCAAATGTTTTTATTTATTACATTTGTATCCGTTGAATATACCGGTTGCGTCCGCGATTTCCTTTGGCTGCGCATTAACACCGCCCCGCCTGCTACAAACAGACAAACATTCGGATCGCTTGACTGTTTAGACATCTCTCCGACTGTATTGCGCTACGATTGTCGTGGAATTGTAGCTTCGTCGCCTTCTGTGGTTGTTGTGTGAAATGCAATGAGATTGCTCATTTCAAAATTAGTGCTACCGTTTTAGTGTCGAAGTGTCTTTAGGACACCACGTTGTTGTCGAGTGATAACGATGGACGCCTCCACAATAGACTCAGCCAGTGACCACAGTAGTCACGCTTCCTCAAACTCGCCGGCCGTGGCGATCAAGCAACCCTCATCTCCTGTAAACAATAACAATCCTGCCTCCAATAATCACAACCAGGTGCATAGTCCGAGGCAAGCGAGTCCATTAGGACCCCCGATGTCAATGGCGCACACCCTTAGCCCACCACCGGTTAGTTCCGCCGGGTTAGTTCGAAGCATGGCCTTAGGACATATGCCTCCCCCAAATTTGGGTCTTTTAAATTCTTTGGGAGTTCTTCATAACCCATTGGATTTAATGGCCCATCATGCTCCGCCACGGTCTTACAATAGCCCTCCACCAATTTCGACATCAGATCCAAGTGCGAACGAGTGCAAATTAGTAGACTATCGCGGACAAAAAGTGGCGGCATTTATTATCGCCGGAGACACTATGTTGTGCTTGCCCCAGGCCTTCGAACTGTTTTTGAAACACCTTGTTGGAGGGTTGCATACGGTGTATACGAAACTGAAGAGGCTAGACATTGTTCCTCTAGTGTGCAATGTCGAACAGGTGCGCATACTTCGAGGTTTGGGAGCTATCCAACCTGGGGTCAATCGTTGCAAGCTGTTATCATGCAAGGACTTCGACACCTTGTACAAAGACTGCACCACTGCCAGGTACGTGTTGTTAGTACATACTTTTAGATTTGTCACCAGTCTACTACATCTATCCCTAAAAATCATTGTTGAGTAGTACCTCCACATCAACTTATATGCTCCGATTTTAATTCAGTCTAAGTCTGACGCTGGTATTATTAGCGATTATCTAGAGAATACACATCAATAATGTGACTGCAGTTTTGAGTGATGGGGTGTTCATCCTGTGGAAGGAATCAAATTTTAACATGAATATTTTTGACAAAATCCAGAATTCGTCAGCAAGTTCAATGGAAGCAACCTCTATTTACCTATATGGCGTTCACTCAATGAATGCATATCATAGAAAAAACAGTAATTGGAAACCTAATAGATACCTACATCAAAATGACTACAGTTTTGAATTTTGGGATGATTAGATTATGGAAGGAATCAAATTTTATGATATATGTGCAAAGATTATTCGTGTTCACTAATATTTAAATATGAACGTTCTTTGACAAAATCTGAAGTCCACTGTGACTATTTACAAAATGCATCTCCAGAATCTAAAATTCATCAGCAAGTTTGATTCACTTATAGTGTTCACTGCATGATTGCATATCATAGAAACAATAATTGGATATATAATAGATACCCACATGCATTTTCTCTCACTTTTAGTCTAGACATCCTAAACTAGAACATAAATAATATGATCCTTGTGTTCATTTTCGACACGCAATGATTAAGCTACAGCTGAAACGTTGTAAGCATCTTTGTCTTGAGATATAAATTTCCTTTATGTTTTACGAAGAAAAAGGAATTAAAAACCAGCTTAACGCAAACGTACTTGTGGATATATATATACATATATACTTCATAGATTAATTACGAACTGCACCGATGTATACCTACAGTAGCTAGCTCGTATCACCATAAATTGTAGTATGCCCGCTGGAAGCTGTATTAATTAATATTTAAGTATTTATGAAACCAATTAAGTACATTCTGTTGTTACTATGACGGTTTGTGCATAATATGAGTTACCGTTGTTATAATTGCTTGTAACCTTTCTTTCAACAAGAACTAAAACAAAACCTTAATCCCATATAGGGATTTAGTTTTACTGATGCTTTTTTTTGTACCTACCATACACCATTACACATACCTGCAACAGAAATACGAGAAGAGAATCTAAAACGTGAAGGCAAAGTCCAAAAGATTGATTGAGAGTTGATAAACTGTAATTTTTATCTTCAAGGAGACCAGGTGCAATATTTCATATGTGATCGTGAGTTTGTATAATGTATGACGTGAGGAGGTAGGGCCAAAAAAGAAGAGTATAAAATGGTGGAAACAATTGTAATTCTTGGCATCAATCTACATCTTTTTCGATTTGATAGGTACTGCAAATTATCAATTGCTGTCAAAATGTTAATGTGGAGTTGGAGCTGTTTCTAAACTAATGAAATAGAAATAATTTTTAAATAGGTGTAATTCTCTGTAAAACTCGATTCTTCAAAGTAGGCATTTGTAATATAATCCTTCTGTATACACTTACGGTGCCCATATAACCTTTTTGTGTGCTAAGGTATTGTAGTTGCTCCTATATCTGCCAACGTCCCCTTGTAATTCCAACGACAGAAGATGTTTCGGAGGGAGCGATTCTACTTCTTCATTTCCCCTATTTCATTTCGATTGTAATTATTTTAATCTAAATGCGAGGGGTTGCGTTTGTGTGTGTCCCAGTTAGTATTTATAGAGTGCATCTATCATATATGCAATTGTCTGTAATATTGGATGCCTTCGGCTTGGGGCAACGACCATTCCGTGAAAATTAAGCTCTCTGGGATTCGGAACTCGCATAGCGTAGGCAATCTCGCGTGTAATAACCCTAAATTCGTTCCTTATAAATATCGTGCCTACGAATTATCGCAACATCTTCAAAAGGTAATAGCCTCACAACTACGAGTCTTGGTGAAATGTTTGGAAAGTGCCATTTCAATAGTTCCAATATGTGCTAGACATTAGAAAAGAGGAAGCTTTTGAAACAAACAATAACGAAGATGGAGAAAATTCACAGAGTAAATTCTATATAAGAAGGATTTATGACTGGTAATGTCGTGCAATATGATGCTTTCTTTGGATTTCCTTTGTTGATGACTAGAGACAGAACAGCTTTTGATGTTGAAGTGTCTTTCCACATGGAAGACTAGCATCATGTAAAACAAGGATATTCTTAATACTAGCTTTTGTCAATATTCTAGCTGTTACCTTTTTCCAAAAATATCAAGCTTCAATTTCCAATAAATTGTTCTTTCAAAAATTATGTAGTTTCGCCTTTATTTAGAATGACGTTTGAGTGTTTATTGAGGAGACTTTCGGGTTTATTTAGGATTTACGTAGTAGGTAATTGATGTAGGTATTATAATACGTGTACCAACGAATATAACGCGTCAATGATACGCTGGCGCCAGTCTTATAATAGCGTTGGTCTTGTCGCGGAAGATGAATACTGATAAACTGGAGAAATGGACCCAGGGGAACCCAAGCGGTGACGACGGCACGCAATATTATTTGTGAACAATAGCGAACGATTGTCTGTGTGCTTGTGATATTTGTATTATGGCCGGTGATCGGTAGCGGCGATACATTCATACGTACATACACATACAAAGACGCAGAGACCGCGAAGCAGTGGGTGCCTCCTGCGATGATGATGATGGCTGGAGATTTTCTGATAGCCTATAGCTAAGACCAGTCCGATGTTAATAGGTTCTGTCAGACGCCGCCGCACTTACCTTACGTCCACTTACCTTCTTCTTCTTCTTCTTCGTCTGCTTCTTATACATGAGGTACGAAACGCAATCGCATTGGACATGAAATATTATATCAACAAGACCCTCCAGTCAAGCGACCGACCAACGTTGTTGACGGGACACGTTAGACCTTTAATAAAATTTGGTTGCCGTCTTTTGCTTTCACTTTTACTTGGGTCATTTGTGTGCTTATTTTTAATATAGTCATTCGCATGGTTAAGCGACAATGTTAAATTAACATAGTAGCACATATAAGAGCATTCCTCGTCAAAGGATTTGCGATTTCATTGAGATTATTCTTCGAAAATGAACACGATCGGGCATATGCAATTTACGAGATGTAGCACTAAACGTACATAAATCGATTATAACAATAGTTAAGTAGATAATTTGGTTACATTTTATTATTCGGCTTAGGGAACATTACCAATCGTAAAGTGGATTTCAAGTTCCTACGTAACCGAATACATAATACAATGTATCTTTTTTACCGTGGAAGACAATCGATAGAACACACTGGACGCCAGCGCCGTAAGCACATAACTCGGAATCGAATAGCGTTTTAAATCATCCCTAAATAAATATTGTTGACAGTTACGCCTAAGCCATTAAAACTTGGCTATACCTACAAGTTGTTGGAGAAAATCACGCCGTTATTTATTATGCGCGGATAGCAAAGGTCATAATGCGTTCGCAAACGATGATGGTTCGGAACGAGCTGTGTGGACGATGGTTGTTTCTTTATACCGTTCGCGTTTTATACAAAGAACACTTCAAAGAACACAAAATGTTTAAATGACGATACGGTATGGGTAAATCATCTACTTATAGTAAGTAGAGTGTATATTAGATGAGGAAACTTGTGATAAAGTCTAAACTTCGGATAATTTCAGCATAAGAATTACAGATACCTATAGACTTACGATTTTCAGTGGTTCTAAAGGGTTTTAATAAATAGATACCCACAACAATATGAATTCTTTCTTTGCATCCTCAAGCAGAAATTCTAGTAATAAACTGTTTCGAGAAAGAAGAGAAAGTGGAAAATGTGGAATTACATTTTTGTAGTTCTTGTGATTTTTGATTTCATTTATTTGGTTAGAAATCTTCGGATCCGCACGCTATGCATAGTTGGATTTACTTATGTTTAGGTATATCCTTGTACTGACAAATTAATTCTGAAATCGAAAGAGAATTCTATGGATCCTTAATATTAAGAAATATGCAATATGGAATAGAGCTCGACTAGAATTTATAAGGGGCATGCCCCATGTAAATGCGGGCCTCGTGCGACGAATGAGGGGCATGCCCATATAAGTGTTTTCCCGGGGATTCCTCATGTAAATCTCACCAAAAAAAGTGGTGATGCTAAAATGAGGATTGCCTTATGGGTTTTTCATAGGGGTCTTATAAGGGAAACCTAACACATGTGTAAACTTACAATTAAATCTACCTTAGGGGGCGGCATTCCTAGTGATGCGGCAAGGCGTTAAATGCTCCTTCCTTGCCCTAGGGGGCAACCTCATGGGGCCGGCAAAGGATAGTAGGCTACCCATATATGGACCCTACCTGTACCACCCTCAAAATTCTAGTGGGGAGTTCATGACTGCTCTGGAGAATCATGAATACTGGTAAAGGTTTTGAATGTATGGATATTCATTTAGATGAAATCAAAAGGACACAACATGCAGAATTTGCCGTTAAGATAAATTACAGAAATAAAATTGGTAGAATTGAAGGAGTGTTTGCGTTAATTAATTTTGGAGATTTAATTCGAGTTATTGCGACCGAATTAAGTAGGTACTTAATGAGTACACTTTTAGCATGGTTACAAGAGATGTACATAAGCAGAAAAGCAAAGGATGAAACGGAATGAAACGTGAGAGCAAGTGCACTTAGTAACTATTATAATTTCAAGCGAATCCCCAGTTGTTTCGGAGCATCACGATCTCAAATAAAAGTACACAAACGCGCCTTGAGAAAGATGCAATTAATTTCAGTCGTCCTTTCCATCTTTACACAACGTTGTAAACGGAGTTGAGATTTAATAAACTGGACAGGTATACATTATATATACCCCAGGTAATGTTGCGGACAGAGAGTGTGTAGTCGCTCCTGCATTATCTCCATAAATGCACGTAGTTCGCACAAAAACCCATTTAAACCCTAGCAAAAATATAATATAAGTTGCGTATACCGTCCGTGATTGCCTTTGCAAAA